GTATACGGTAGAGGCGCGAAAGGCGCGAGACAGCACCCCCCACATCAACACTGCACCCCACAGACGAGAGGAACCCGGCAGGAAGAGCTACCTACGGGGAATTGGTAGATGAAGACACCGAAAGGTTTTTTCGAAGCTCGAAATATGTTCAGAAACACCGGGCACATCAAAACTTGACACATCCTCCTTCTGACTTCAAATGCTTGTACAGCTGCCAAGATGTTATATTCACTTTATAAGGCTAACTTTTCGGCCTTATCGCCTTTGTCAGAGCCTGGAAAGTCAAGGATAACTGCGATCTAACCTCCAAACGCCATTCCAAACTTCAAAACAGTCCATCCTGGACTAAAGGCATTTCTATATGGACTTCGCGAGCCACCAACGCTCGTAGGACTCACCATCACTAGCACGGCCGGTTAAGGTTAGTGCCAACGCAAATCTGCCTTCTGTGGACGACTTCAGATGAGCTAACCCCTCAAAATGAAACCGCTACACCCTCATCTTACCTCTCTTACAAATTCTCAACACCCTTTCCTCCCTCTGAAACCCCAGGTGATTCGACTGTCTCAGAAGTGCGATTATTCCGAAGAAAGCTTGATGAAGGATCTTACATGGTTTGATCATCCGTCTAAACGTTTTCATTGTCTGAAGAAATGGCTCTGCTGTCAAACAAATGCAGGCGATTCATGTCGTGGCTGTCTGGGAATGTGGAAGTGTTGATTCGAATCAAAGTGTTTGAGAGTTTAACTTCGATACGGCCGAAAATATCAAATAAGATTTACAGTGACAGTTGCCAAAGGAAGCCGCTGTCAAGTCGTAAACAGCAGCACACCGAAGAAGATAAGATACGCTTCTGCTACGCCGCCGCAGCAATAAAATACTCGTTCAGTTCTTGTCCGCACAGCACTATACGGCCCCGGTGTCGATCGTTAACGCTCACCCGCACGCTCGAAACCGTCATCGACAATGAGCAACAGAAGCTGGCAAAGGTACATACATATGTATGTAGCTCGCTAAATGGATACTCAAAAGGCATTAGTGGAAATGGTGGCGAAGGTGAAGAGAGTGACGGGACTCAAAGGTACTACTTGTGATTATTTTTATATGTATTTTAAAAGAAGTCGCACTGATCCATAGACGTTTTCAAAATATCTCTAGAAGAAGCTCCACCTGGCGAGAAGCTACAGGGCTAAGAGAATTTGGTCTAGCAGCCGAATGTGCCCAGCTGTTTGGCCAGAATATCCTATTTAGAAGAGGGCTACAAGTTGTTGAACATTAGGAAGGATAGAGCGCTGCCCATTTTGGACAGTTATTTTCAGTTCCATCCGATTCGATCGGTGACGAACAACAAGCAGGTGGAGAGTCCTTGTGCTAGGGGTAGAGTTTGATCCTCTCCTCAGAATTGGGCTATGGGTTCAGCTCTCATCCGAAATGTATACGATCAGGCTGCTATCGAAGTCCTCCAGCACTAACCTAAGAGGTGCAGGAATGGAACATTGAAAATTGCTTCATGCACTCTTGTTAGCCTTCGACTCCACATAAGGACGCAGACTCCGAAAAGCGCGATATTTTTAGCTGTGTGAATGCATACTAGTCAAAATTGCCCCCGTATCTTGCGAACTACCGCCTAAACTGTATGACAGAATGGCGAAACGCAACTTAGGTATCATGGCTCTTTCGGCTTCGACCTCGAAAAGGATTGCGTGCTCTTCAGCTCATGCTCTACAATTCCGCGCTGGGATGAATTTTTGTTGATGTTGCCTTTGTGCGTCAAATTCAAAGCCTACCTTTGACCAAAATCGAAGTTGAACGTTGATTTGTCTGTGTCTGACCAGCTTTCAAGGGCTGAGAGCGCTGCTATAAAGACAAGAAGGAAGTCAGCATAGGTAGCAGAAGATAGCCGTAAAGATGCGATGTTCGACATTGCTGCTTCCCTTTCTGACTGCAGAGCCACAAGGTGGAAAATGAAGGGGAATGATCGCCCGGTGACCGCTGGCAGATGCAGTTGTGCAACATCCTCTTAATGGGTGGTGATCGGATTATTGCGACTCATGTGACAGTTGTGATGATGGCCTGGACCAAGGTAACTAGGCCGCCATAAATCACTTTGGAACCCGCTTTGTCTGCTCGCTAAAATTCTCGGACAGATTCCGCTACTGTTGTGGGTGACCCTGTCAGGGCACGCTTGTAAGGCTTTGTTTATGTGGGAGGAATTGATGTACCTCATGTTTCAATGTTCGCTTACCGTCATCAGAATGAAAAGTGTGTTTACGATTCCCCGGCTAGTTCCCCTCACTTTGATGAACGTAAACCCCTGTGTTTTTCTTCGTAGGTTTGGTAATAGAGATTAGTGTCAACAGTGGTGGGGAAGATGCTGACGGGATAACGTTCCCAGCAGGTGCGATCTCGCACTATCGGAGTCGATTATCTCACTCAAAGCGCTCGCCACACATTTCCATGATGGGTGACGAGCCTTCAGGAACCGCATGTCTCCCAGAACTCCATCCCTAACTGTCATTCCGCACGCGGCAGCACGTCAAAGTGGAATAGCGGATGTGTTTCTGGTCTTTTGTTATGTGTCAAGTGAGCAGAGGGAAAGAAGCAGCGACCATGAGGAATCGCATGTCATTCCGCATACCATTTGACATCTAATAAACGGGTCCTGCGAGGATTGCCCGGCTTCCAGTGGTGATTTATCACTCTCCACAACCAACTCCGAGTCATCAACTAGCTTCCCAGTGAACATGTGCCGCCGCTGGCTGGCGAGAAGACGCCGCCGATCATAATGCTTGTCTTTAAGCCACCGACACAAGAAGTCCCTGGTTTTGAGAAGGGAAAAGGTTGTCGTAGCGCTTCGGTCGACGTCGTCATCGGTCCGGACGGGCAGTGTTCAGGGGGTGTTGGGTGAAAAGAGCGGGGCAGCGCGTCTGTTGATGTATGACAGACAGCCTGTAAGAAACGATAGAAATCACAGAGCGGCACATTTGATCAAGATGGATGAACAGTGACAGCGCGCCAGAAGAACAAAGAGACACAGAGAACGCAGACATCTCTCATCACTCCTTACGTACACATACGTAGCAGCCGATTCGTATACGGTCACCTCCGGGGACTGTAGACGGCTCCCGACGGCAGAAATAGCTTGGCGCTGCTCACCGAGCTACTTCCTGCCGTGCTCAAAGTGGCTTAATGGCAGTATTCAGAAAGGATTGATGCCATTTGGCGCAGTACGTAACAGCTGCCAAAGAACCCGTCTCCTAAATCATTATTGCAGTGGGTGATTTGAACTGTTCGCCCTGTCAAGAAAACGAGTCCAACATGGCAAAGAAAAAATCTATCGAAACGATTCATCATTCACTTTCCAGAAAGCCATGACTGGTTCCTTTACGGTGAAGACCGTCTTCAAAGCTAGTGCTTTAAGTGGTGATTTTCCCTTGAAAAAATCTAGAACAAATTGCTTGTATGGCCCTGTGACGAGTAAAGTCGCTAGCCGAAGAAATTCCTCCGATGCTCCAGGAGGTTACATCGAACGTTTATTGGGTGGTTCAGCAATAATTTGCCCCATAAACTGTTTATAGGGCTATTTCGCATTGACTGCCGAAGTGATCAACAGATGAAGTAGCCGTCGGAATGATCTGCTTGGCGAAGTCTGCCGATTGCCGTCCCGCACAGGCATCTCCTTTTATGCGTATTGTACGCTGCTTCACTTCTTTCGTCTTCCACAAACAATGCACTCAATCACTCTGCCAAGTACCGTCTTGCTACTAACACGTCCCCCACCCATGCATCACTCTGTCTTCTCCGGCCCTCACATGCTCGTTCGGCCGTCTCACCGGTCCCCACCCTCCACTGGCGCTATGCTCTCGCGGTGATTGCCGATTGACAGATCATAAATTTCTTGATATATGTTTCCGACGCGGTCCATCATTCTCCTGCGGATTGGGCGTTTGGTGTCGCTCCGCCCTTGTCGCGCTCGTTGATTGGCCAGTATCGACGAGTTCCGCCTCCTCGACGGCCTTTGATGTGCCGACATGGGCCGCCTCTTCAGCCTGTCACTCGCACGCATTCTTGCCTGCTGACATGGTATCCACTCACTCTCAATACATCACCGACTTCACACCTACATCAAGTGTTAGTTGTTTTTCCTTAGTGTTGTCTGCTTACACTTCCCAATTTTGGAAGAGGCAGAGAAGCCGTTGAAGCGCACGTTAATGAAGTGTGACCTAAGGCTTTTGGCCCGTTCCGTTCATGAGACTTGACTAAATCTATGTGTTTAGGTAGAACCCGGCAAAAGCCCGTTGGCAATGTTGGCCAAGACTTGTGAGACAATCGGACTGCCTGACACACCATCGAAGAAAAGTCCATCCGAGAAGAAAGACGACGTGAAGAAATCCGAAAGCCCTTCTGATCGGAAGAAGGAGAGGTCACCACGGGCGACGCCCACGGCCACACGCGTCGAACCTGTCACGTCAACGACATTTCCGGGCCTTCCAAAGCCGACGTTCCCACTTGGATTCTCTCCGGGTCTCGCGTTCCCGTTCCCCTATCATATGATGCCGTACGCGATGTCATTTCCATCGTTCCCGATGCCGTTCTCAATGACTCGTCCACCGTGCCCATCGATGCTCATGCAAAGGCCGTGTGTCACTCCCGGTTGCAGTTCATGCTCACCGGATATGCTCTCATCGTTCGCTGCACATCCACTCTTTTCCACCTACTCCTCGATGATGCCGTCGGCTTCCAGGTAAATTTTCCCTTATTTTTCTTTCTACACATTTTTTCTTTACCTTGAAGTCCTTATGTACGACTTTTGTCCTTCGATACCTTGAAAATATTCTAATTTTTCTTATTCAGCGCTTCGATGCTGCCGGCTTCCTACCAAAGTCTGTTGGCGTCCTCTGGTGGCCCGTCGATGTCGGCGATTCCGTCAACTTCTGTGGCATCGACGACGTCGAAATCGTCACCTCAGGCAAAGCACATGTGCTCGTGGGTCGAGTCTACCGGCATATGCGGCAAACAGTTCGCCTCCGCTGACGAGCTCGCCATGCACGTCAAGCAGCTGCACACGCCTTCACCGCCATCCAGTGCCTCGTCGGTAGCACCTGAGGTGTCAAAAACGCCTCTAAGCCGTAACAGTCTACCTCGTTTTCATCCGTATTCCAAGCCAACCACGCTTCCCATGCCTCCGATGATGCCTTTTCCATCGGCTTTGCAAGCTATGTACGCTCAGCGCATCATGTCCAGCATGCCTCATCCTTAAACCGCTGATTTCTCATTTTTTCTCTGTCTCTTTTGTAGAATTCTACACTCGATACGGGTTTTTTGACAGGTGCCGTTAGTGCTCTCTCTCATTCATTGTGTTTTCTTTATGTATTTTACCATTTTCAATTGATATTACGAGTTCATTTATTGTTATAATCAGATGTTATAAAAGATTAGTGTTTGAAGAAGTCTTTGATGTATTCAATGGGGTCATCAGTAGCTGATAATGTCCTTATCAGTGCACCCCCGTCCACAATGACGACGATATCATTGAGCTGATTCATTGGGGGCGGTTGTAAGTGTGTTTTTGAGCAGTCAGTCGAGGTCACAGTGGTGCTTAGTGTTAGAGTGCTCGATGATTGAGTTGAGGGAGTTTAGAGAGAAGATTTATTGTGATTGGAAGGGTCGTTTGTGAGTATTTGTGCTCTCGTTCAAGAGGTTTTTGTCAGTGCGCTCGTGACGAATGTCGGACGCGTATGATTGACGATCATCCCGCATATTCAAACCACCACTACCACCAGCAATCCCTCATCCTCACCAGCATCCAGCAGACCCCGTCGAAACCACTAACACAGCCGGCAATACGGGACCTGAGGAAGGAGACAGGGGCTGTGACACTTCTAGGTGGTATCAATTTGCCACAAGCATCGTCGGCAAAGGCGCTTACCAGCAGCTCTGCATGCTCCATCAGCCGTTAATGACTCCTCTTATCTCATTAATCGCCTTCGCGCCTTTGCTAATTAGCGCGTTTGAGCCCTGAAATCACCGCTCCACTGCCCCTTGCATCAATAAACCGAATATGGCAATGACAGGCGGGGAATTATCGCTGCACTTGTCCTCTCCTCATTGTGTCTGTAATCCCTTTCGAACCGCGACGAGTTCTCAGCGCTTTTTGTGGAGGCGACGATTACGCAATTAGCACCGGCTCTCATAAAGGCACTAAAGTCTTCCATAAGAAAGGCTTATTGCATAAAAGGACCACATTGGGCTTCTGGGCACGGGGAAGAACTATAAAGCATAACACTAAGGCCAAGTGGTTCGTATGGTCGCGGTTTTTCGACATCGTATACTTCACCACGCACTTATACTGCCTCCACGAGTAAATAGGTAAATAAATAAATAAACAAATTTCTGTGTTGCCTGAAAATTTTTGAGTCCGCAGTAGTCAGGAGCGCCATACGCTCCGCTTATCGCATTCATTCCCTTTCGAAAAAAAAAAATGTTGGTACGAGGTTTATATGGGGAAATGCTCCTCACTAATGAGGAAAATTTGAGCAGTGAGTGAAGAACGGGTCATTCACGCATCCAAATATTCGCTCTACAACGCTTGATAGCGAAAGGCAGCCAGCCATCATGGCCAGAGCGGTTTATGGCAGTTCTCGTCTTCGTTGGTGGTCGTTTAGATCGACTACTCGTCTGTGAATCTCTTGATTAAAAAGCTAAGGGATTTTATTTGATGGAACCGATCATTCCATGAGTGATGACTCTTTTGCAGACAGAGTCATCTCTGAACGGTAGTGCTCTTTCTTTCAGTTCTTAGCAAAATGTTCCTAGCGATCCACAGCCTAGAAAATGGGGACCATCAAGCCCTTATAACCGCCATGCTTGCCACGATTAGCGGAGCTATTCGAAGTTCTTTCCAGGCATGTTCTCATTAGCCTGTCATGGATTTGTCCCGCTACAATCTCAAGTGCCTGCGAGTGAACGCCAGTTTTTCGCCAGCCCCACTTCAGGTGCCATGGCCCCGAAAAGGCTGTGGCATTCAGCCGTGTGTGACGGCGTCCATCTTCTCTTGTCACTTCGCCAACAATTACTGTAAAGACAGTCGCTGCTTGATTGACGGCCGAATGGCGGCAGTTCAAACGCATCTTTTATCTGACACATGTAATCCATCACCACCTGTCAATCACTGCCCGTCGCTCTCCTTCCCGTACGCGCTCGCTGCGTCATCTTGCGTCTGCGTCTCTTGTTTATGCGCACTCGCTACACGAGTCCCACGTCCTGCGCGATGATTTGTGGATTGTCATTAATACCTAAAAGCTGTGTCCGATCAATCAACGGAACGCAATCGCTTCCAGATCGTATTCGCCCCTCTCAGCTACGATGGTCTCTTTGGTGGTGACCGACCTGGCGCCGGCGGGAGCTCCTCCACGGTTCGTCTGACGTTGCATAACGAGCATCGTTAAACCCCTGTTATCGGCCTTTGTGTTCACGACTATTGCGCAACCGCCTCGTCACGGCAGTTTTTGAAGATGGCGAAGCGCTTCAAGATGTCGACATAACCCTTTTGGCCCTCTGATTGCCGCCTTCGTTGTAGGGACCTGGGCTCAGCTTTCATTCCCGTGCCGAGCCCATAGTTGTGAATGCACTTTGAAGTTCCCTTCTGCAAACTCCAATACGTCACAACCCCGCTGACACCCACACCCCCCCACCCTTGACCACGTGCACTTTTGTTTGTGCACAGTACAGTTTGGCCAGCATGTGCTGACGACAGTGATGGCTGTAACTCGTTGCAGATGGAATGACATTCATTCATAGTTCGACTGATGCCGTTGCTGCCACTCCCAAGTCTACACGTTTACCCGCCACCCCGTCGCTCTGTCTGCAAGTGTCGCAGTTTTCAGAAGGCTGTTCGATCAATCGTGAGAGTGGAGTGTCATCCATCATCTTCGTATGGATAGTTCATCATTTCTTCTCCCATCGACTGTTGACGTCCCGAAGCATTCCGATCGCTCCAACTGAACTGATGAATTGAAAGATGCGCCTGCCGTCGAACCGGCCAGCGACGATACTCGAATAGAAGGCGTTTTTGTACTTGTCCCGAAAAATTTTGGGCTACACTTTGAAAGAAGAATACATCCTTCAATGGTTAACGAGCGATTTCCCGAGGTCAGACATAAGTTTTTTTTGAGGTGAATCTCATTGGTGTCATGTTTTGATGACGAGAGATGGTCGCCTTCTCGACACAAAGGATGCCGACTCGCAGAGGAGATAAGAGACGAGTATTTACTACGACACATCAATCTTCTGGGCGAAGGTAGACGGAGCCGGACGGTGCAGAGATGACAGCAGATGAAGAGGGTGCAAAGACCTGCTGGTGTCCAGATGGATCGGTCCCCGAACAGATAACTGACTAATTGTCTGCACTCGCCCTCTTGACACTTCTCTATAAACAAATTATCATGTGAACGACAGCGCGGCAATGCAGCCAGCCGGACTTCGTTGATCGTCTCATCACCCGGATGGAGTTTGTTTCTATTCATGCGCGGTGTCACGTTGAATTGAGACTAATATAGTATGTACGAGGAGCGTCTTATTCGGAATAGCCATTTGATTGAGGAGAAGGCAATTGCTCTGTCAGCCACACGGCTGGCTATCTAACCCATTTCAACGATGTGACATAAACGAGGCTCGGCAAAGCTACCGCTAGACGAACCGGCCGGTAACCGTGTGGCCGCTGCCAGCGCACAATGGCTTGCCGGTCCGTCCGGCCGCTTTCAGCACCGCGAAGAAGTCTTCGCGATTGCTGCGCATCAGAAAGTTCGCCATGCTCATTATTCACCTTTTGACATGAAAACCTGCGACAAAGAGATCGGAGCTAGATAGATGCGCCCGCGTTCTCCTCCTGCGGCCCATTCTATTAGCCAAGGCAGAAAACAGCTCTCGACAACAACAATCAAATGCTTTAGAAAGCCTAAAAGTCGTTTTCGGTGGAGCGCTCGAAACCCTGTATTCGAGAACATTCCAGAGCAGTCCAATGTCCAGGTATGTGTGCAGTAACTGAGAGAGTACTGACGATCAGGTCAGGATCTGCGCCACATACATCACTGCGCGTTTCGCTGACGATTTCCCGTAAACTCTTTTTTTTTACTTCCGATGATCATTTGCATCCGTACCATCCATCTATCATCTTAGAATAACATTTCTCCATCTTAGCGCCCCCGAAAACCGGTCTCACCGACGATTTGCCCACTCATCCCAATACGATGCCAAACGTCTCAGGGACACTGAAAAGAACCAATTGATCGCATTGCACTCAGTTTTGCCTCTCATTCTGCTCCCTAACAAAGGGCATCGGAAAACATCCTCCTGGACAAACTTATTAGTAAATAATCATTTTTGAAGACAAAATTTTCAGAGCAAATTTCCCTTCAAGGTGGCTTCGTAGCGTTGGAGAGGGTATTCTCCTTTCTGCTTAGAAGAGAATCTTCCTCTGAAGATTTCCTCTGACGGCCCAATCAATTAGAAATCGTATGAGTCAGTATGTCGGTATGGATTGTGTTTCGAAGATAGGTGGAGAGGTGGGGGGGGGGGTTGAGATGGCTCGTAAGATCGCTCGTAAATGCATCGCGACGCCCCATAAACTAACCATCTCGTGGCTCATAAAACGCCGAATTGTAGCTACCAGAGGGTATCCTTTGCCATCAACACACATAGCAGCAGGTAGCAAACCATCGGCAATAAACTGACGAGGGGGACGCGTCAGCAAGTCCGAGGATTGGGCCAACATTTTACAGTGTTTCCCTGCTTATACAGAAAGTTTTCACGCCTCTATAGTTCTTCGAATTGGACATGGGAAAGTCGTCAAGATAATGGCGTATTTATGAGACAGTGGGCGTCGTGGACGAATGCAGCCTTCGCTTTTAGTTGCAAAAAAAGGTCACTAAGCCTTTTTTGCTGGACAGTTCTCTCAGGTCATTGACACTTTTTCACTTTTTTTTGTTCTCAAAGAAAGCATAGGGAAAGCTAGCTCCTGTGCGGGGTTGGGTCGGCCGAAATTAAATGGAAAAGGTACACTACAGGTGCCGATGGGTGGATCTGTTGTGGCACACTAACAGTAACCCTGATAATTGGGGAATTGGGGTTTTGTTAACGCACCGCCGGGGGCTGTCGTGTAAGGCAATGCAAATGCGCCAAGGATTGCAGCGGCTGCACACCCCTAACCGTACAATAAGTTGAGATTGTTGACAACTCTAGAACCGTCATGTTTCGGGCCGC